GGGCATTTTAATAAATCATATTATTTTATGCATGATAATCTCCTGATGATCTAGAAGTTATATGTTGTAATTCATTATGTATTGATGAAATAATATTTTTTGTATTTAAGACACTTTGTTTTGCTGTTAAATATTCATCTCGATAATCATTTCTTCTCAATGGATCATTATTTATTTCAGATTCCATCCAAACATTACGTGCTTGTGTTCGATATCCATCTCGATCTTTTGATATTTTATCAATATAAGCAGGATCATCCTTAAATTTATGTTGTCGTTGATCTATTCGACCATTATCATGACGCATCATTGCTTCACGATCAGTTTCAATACGAGTTTTAGCTAAACGTTTTGGTGTTGCATATGCATCTGTTGCTGTTGCTGCACGATCAGCTATTACAGAATCATCAAAAAATAATGGAGGATTTGAACGTGATGAATATTGATTATTTTGTTGATCATCTATGCTATATTTTGGTATTAATTCAACAGGTGTAAAACGTGCTATATCATGTGCACGATCACCTGCTTCATAAGGATCATAATAAAGACGAATAATTGATGGATCAGGACGTTGAGATACTTGAGGTATAACAGGTATATGAGAAATTTGTTGATTTTTATCATATAAAGGTAAAATTTTATGATCATCAGATACGGAATTAATACGACGTCGCTGACGACGACGCTTTTGACGTTCACTTTCAGAATCTGGATTATAAGATTTTTCACTGTCAGCTTTATCAAGAACTTCATCTAATAAACGATGTAATTTTGTTCGTCCAACTTCACTTTCAGTTGTTTGTGGCATATGACGAGGTGAATGAGTAGAAACAATATTATCTGCTGGTTGAATATTAATTTTTGGAATATCATGTTCAAAAGCTTGATTATCATATTGACTTAAACTTGAACGATTAGTATCTAAGATGACAAAAAAAAAATAATTTATTAATTAATATCGAAGATCATCTTTTATCTGGATGATATCAAATTTTCTCATTTAGATTTAGAAAAGAACGATTGAATTGTTATTTATCGAGTATAGTTTTATATTTGCTGTATGAATTAAATCATTGTCTTCAACCAAATGAAAAACTTCGTACAATTTCATTAACAATATGTGATGGTCGTAATACAGCAATATGTCTTAGTCGTTTAAGTATTAAATTAAGACTTCTAACAAAAATTGATAATGATTTAAATGGTGAAAAAATTCTTAAAAGTCTTCAAGAAGAAAAAAAATATTGACACAAAGTGAATTCTTATTCAATTAGCAGTAATAAGTCCTTTAACATATATCATTGTTGATATAGAATCAAAAATTCGAACATGTTTATATAGTATAAATAATGAACAACTACTTATTAATGATATTAATCCTAATTGTTGAAGTATTGTTACAGAAGAAATTGTTCATATAAATGAAGAAGATTTTCTTATATGGAATTCTACTGCATGGCCTATTCAATTAGAAGATATTATTCATACAACAGGTAGTGAAAATGAGTTTATTGGTGAAATTATTTATGGACTTTTAACAAAGGACTTGTAATCTAGGCATAAATTACTTCGTTTGGTTTCTTATCTAACTATGTGTAAATTAAAAGGTATTGGAGCATATTCTTCATTACCTTATCTTTTTGATATTGATATGAATTTATTTTCATAATAAATACTTACTTGGTACAGATGAATCTTGAAATTTAATAGGAGATTGCTAAAGAAAATAATCGAGTTTTTTTCTTGAGAAGAATATCTTTTTTTGTTTTGTATTTACTTGAAATTTTTCTTGTAAACGGAGTTTATTTCTCCAACGTTCAACATCATTTTGACGACGTATTTCATCCAATGGTATATCAGCTGAAACTGAATGACGAGGTGTATGAGTTGAACTTTTTTCAGATTCACTAGGCGTTAATCGTCGAGATGATGTACCAGTACCAACTAATGGATCATTTTGAATTAATGCATGAATAGTCTTTTCAGATGTTGGTTTTTCCGTTATTGATTCATTTGACATAGTTTTATAATTCTATTTAAAATAAAAAAAAAAAAGATAAATATATTAGTTTTTATTGTTTCGTTAATCGGAAGGAATCGAGACATTAAAGAGTGTTCATGTTGACTCAACTAACATCTTTATTTATTTAATCATTTAAAGTAATAAAGAAAGATGTTAGGAGAAGATCAGTATAAATATTGTATAAAAATTCTGAAAAAAAAAAGAATTTCAAAAATCACTTTGGGTTATATGTATAGTCAATTCTAGTTCGGATCTTACAGGTACAAGTTGGAACTGAAACTAAAAATAACTTAGTTCTTTACAACTATAGTCATGAGTATATATGGACAAGATATGCCCGGAACTGGATTCAAACTTTTTTCTATCTCCGATAGAGGCCAGGACCGAAACCACGTGGTTCTGCTCATGTCTAATTATGAGCGAATTTTTCCAATGTCTAACGACAAATTTCTTGTGAATTAATTTTTTCTTAAATAACTTACCGTTGATCGAGCTGATGCTGGTGGTGCATTATTAACAGGCTAGAAACAAAAGAACAAAATTATGATAATATATTGAAAATCTATTGCTCGATATACTTTAGTTAAAGCTCGATTCTTTGGTCGTGGTCGACATTTATAATGAAGATAACAAAATACGAAGATTAATAATAAAACAAAACCAATCGGTCCAAGAATAGCACCAATAAGCCATAATTTACGATCGGTTGGTGAAGTTTGTCCACTATCATTAGTTGTACTTCTTATTAATTCACCATCATAATTATAACCAAGTGTATCTATGATTTGTTGAGGCAATAATCGATCCGTAGCTGTCTTAACTTGAATAGCTGATAATAAGGCACCTGAATTACATAAATCACTGACAGAGTAATCTACTTTATATTTTCTTGGAGTACTATTAGAAATCTAGATTAATTTTTAAAAAAGAAACAGAAGTATTTTGAAAAAAAAAAATATATATAAAATAAAAAAGTATGTTCATTTAATTCCATTTACTTCAGTTATATCTGGAAGTAAATTAACATCATAACCACTTGAACATATTTGACGTTTAATACGTTGTCTAGGTTGTGTACAATTTGGATAAGTTGAATTAGTTAGACAATTAAAAGCAAAATTTATCGTTCGTATTAATCCTTGACGAATCGATTGTCGAGTATTATTATCAGTTGGAGTGAAATTTTGATTTAATGGAGCAATAATAACTAAATTAAATAAGAAAAATATATTTTTTTTTATCAATCCATTTATAATATCAACGAACTTGTAGACATTAAAAATGATGCATCTATTGTTGCTCTTGGTAAAATAGAAATAGTTGTTGTACTCAATGTTGAATTAACTGTTTGACTTATTGCTATAGATAAATTACTAGCATTTGTGACTGATGATTGTGTAGTAACTGTTATTTGAGTAGTTACGTCTAAGAAATATTAAAAAAATCATAATAGAGAGAACAAAAAAAAAAATATTGAATATTCTACATTTCTAGACGGTGAAAAATTATGTTATTTTTAATTTTGTTACCTGTATAAAAGAAAGAATTAATTGTTATTTGTGTTCCTACATTTGTAGAACTACTCGTAAGTGAATTAGTGAATAAGAGTGAAGTATTAGAAATTGATGTTTCTGAATTATTTTATTGTGTTATAATCATCATTGTGATTTAGTTAGATTGTGTTGATATTAGAGATGAAACACTGTGAGATTCAATAGTCATTATTGAAGCAAAACTCGATGAAATATTAGATACTACAGTGTTTCAAAAAAAAAGAATTCAATAAGATGGGAATTGTTGATGTTTGGGACAATGGAATAGAAATCGCAGATATCAATTGAGATGCAGTTCGTACATTAATCATAGTATTAGTTATTAAAGTTCTACTATTGATAGAACTCATTGATTGATTGTCACTACTTGGACTGAACCCAATAATATGTGATAAAGTAACGTTTGGCATTGTATGCGTATTCATGATAGTTTAACGTGGCAGAGATTGTGCTTGAAGTTATTGAGCTATTGAATGAAATAGAATTGAGAGAAGTTGACGAAATGATAGTATCTGTATGGAAAGATGTTTGATTTGTAAATGTTATAGATGAAGTTGATACTACCGTAGCAGTACTTGTTTTTATTGAGTTACCAATAGGTTCACTTGTACAGTCGAGGACAATTGAAATTATACGCTTTGATTTTTTTTTTTGTTTTTTTATTCCTATACGTTTTTATCTATTAACCTAGTATATATAGGGAGAAAGCATAGAACTTGCTGCATCTTTTGGTATATTTACTCTGAACATCAAATGCAATTTAAAATGTAAAAAGTGTATCGGAAGAAAAAGGACATTTTTTTTAATTTACATGGTGTCCATAATGCTGTAACATTTTTTATTTCATACATATTTCGGCTTAGATAAATGATAAAACCTTGAATTTTTTTTTAAAAGATGCACCATCGAAAGCTCTACAAAACTTGTATAGACCAAATCCTATAACGAATCGGAAAAGTTCTCGGAATATTTTCTATATGTTGGGAAGTCATACTGCCACCCATAAGTTGTTCATTTTGAGTATAAAAAAATTATCAGAACAGGTAAAACGGATTCAATCATATAGCTTTTATAGAGTGTTTCACGGCACATCTTTTGAAAAAAAGAATTCAAGGTTTTATCATTTATCTAAGCCGAAATATGTGCTAAATAAAAAAATATTACAACATTATGGACATCCAATTTTGCAAAAGAAAAAAAAATGTCCTTTTTCTTCCAATACACTTTTTATATTTTAAACCGCATTTAATGTTCAAAGTAAATATACCAAAAGATGCAACAAGTTCTGTGCTTTCTCCCTATATATAATAGGTTAATAGATAAAAATGTATAGGAATAAAAAAACAAAAAAATCAAAGGGTATAATTTCAATTGTCCTCGACTGTATAGGTAAGAAACAATGAAAAAGTACCTGTATTAGATTTGACTGCGGATATTGAATTATTTCCAAATAAACTCATAGCAGTAGTTATGGGATTAGTAGAAGATTGTGACATATTAGCAATTCTGCTGATTACTACTAACGTTGAAGTGTCTGTCAACGTTGGAATAATGCTTGTATTTAAGTGAGAAGTCGTTATTAGTGTTTTTACAGTGTTTGTTGATGATATAGGTGTAGTAGATGTCACATTCGACATCATTAATGATGAATAAACTGAGGTGTATATATTATGCATATTACTAGTAGTGAATGAAACTGATTGACTCATAGATGTACTTGAATTGTTTGTAATTGTGGAATTTAATAAAGACAATATGAGTAAAGAAGAACTTGTTGTTATTAATGGTTGTGAAGTAACTGCTACTACTGATGCAGTATATAATGAAATTGAATTATTCATAGGTATTGAAGTTATAATAGTTGATGTCGAACTTGCAGCAATTGTAAATGAGGATGAGTATGTGCTTTCATTTACTACTAAAATCAAAGAGGAAACGATCTATAAATAGTATTATATGACATCAGGGCCACTATGATTATTATTAACCATATATGTGTGTTAGATGTAGCATTGCAAAAATGTTAGCAGAACAAAGTGCATATATATATATATAAGATATAATAGACAAATATATATTGTGAAATATTATGTGCTATTATAAATGAACAAAAACAATAGGTCTTTGATAGAATACACACTTATACATAACAATAAGCATTAATTGTGAATATACAAGAACAAGATTCAACATTCAACTATAATTACAACAATCTTACCATCAGCCCTTTTAACTAAAGATATTAATAAGTAGAAATATCTTTATTAAAACTATGTACTATCTACATTAATTTAAATACTACGTCAATTTAAATATATTTTCTTACCTCGAATCATTGTCTTAGATAGATCTTTTCTTGATGAAGATTCTAAAAAAAAATAATAATTAAACATAGTCAATTTTATATTTATTTCTACTAACGATAATTTTTTATATTATAAACACTAAGCACATGAAGACCACCACAACAACCAATAGTCATATCAGTTGAACTTTTATAACATTGAATATTACATAAATTCGAATTTGATAATGGTTGATTTAAATCATTTCCACAATGACATAAATTACTAACAGACAAAAAAAAAACATCAATAAAGAATAATAGTAAAATTTTATTTACCCATTCATAATCCCTGCATAAGAATATTTTATAGAACAACGTTTAATACATTCTTCAATTGAATATACAATACCCATTCCTATCTTCAATGTTATACTATCAAAACATCCTTGATAACCAATTAAATTATTTTGACAAGTATAACCTAAATCAAACAATCGTTTTTCTTTTTTTTTTTTTGAAACAAAAATAAATAAATAACCTATACTATATGTATCTATTGAATTAAATACACTATAAATACTATTTCGATTATGACCACCACATTTTTCTGATGTTAAACAATTGTAAATACATTCATCATCAGATACTCGACCATATTTTCCATATTGTCGACCACAACGACATTCATTACCATGTTGTATACCTGCATAGGGAAAATTTTGTTCTTGACATGCAAGAATACATTGTTGTGGAGTTAATAGTTCATAATCACTAATAAATATATTTAGATCACGATTACCAATTTGATCAATAAAACAACCCAAATAATGATTTGATGCTGAAAAAGAAAAAACAAAACATAATTTTCACTGATTAATTAAATTTTATTATTTTCTCTTACCATAAATAATCGTTATTTGAACGATTGAATAATAGAGTAAAAATATTATTTTCATCGTAATTTTCGATCATACCAATAGATAAAAAAATTTTTTTCATAAGATTTCATCAATCTAAAAAAAAAGATTTTATTTCTCTATGATTAGTATTTTGTTGTTTTATCGATTTTTTTTTAATAACAGCGATCATTCGTCCTTCTCTTCTTTCATTATTTATATCAAAGAAAAAATTTCTTTGTAATTCAAGAAAACAAAGAATTCAATATATTTAAATCTGACAAGGCTATTTTTAGAACAAAACATACAAGTCTACAAAAATCATTTGTCAAATATACTTTACAAGATTAACGATTTTAAAATTTAATCATTGAATGACCTTGATGTATGTTTTGATGGTATCGATTGTTTGTAAGTTTTCTTTTTGCCATTCTCACTCTCACTCTCTCTCTCTCAATATAAACAAAATAAAAATGAAAAGAAAATTTTGTGCATAGTTACATACTTCTATGAGTAAATGATATGGTATATTTATCAACAATCAGTCTATTAAAAACGACAAAAAAAAATTATACAATGCGTTCATGTTAAAAGAAAAATAGAAGAGATTACTTGTCAACTAACACACATCAATGTTTGAATAAAGACCAAGAAAAAAAGAATCGATGAGATTTAGGGCGTGAAATTTGATCCAATTATGTTTCTTCATTTTTTAGAAGATTGTAATACGTGAGAAGAAAATATATTTTAATAGAAAAAAAAAATTTACAATAGAATCGAATGTTGTTACAAAATAAGATAGAATCATCTATAATCTCTTTTCTAATATATGTGTACATGTATAGTTAAAATACAGAGACTGTATCAATTATATAACTAAATGGAATTTTTATCATAATATCATTCCTTCTTTTTCTTTTCAATTACAGTTAGAAATGAACTTTTAAATGAAAAGAAACCTAATGATGGTTTGTCTAAATATATGTACACATTTTAATAACAGTCGTTCTTCTCTTCAAACATTACAAACAAAATACACATATACATTTAGGTTTTCTCTAGTATCAATTTCAATGATGTTATTTTATCAGAATAAAATAAAATTGATTTGTTAGTGAATATAAGTTGTACAAGACTATGTATTATTTTATACATACTTGTGTCTTTATTTTTATCATTGTATATCTAAAACGTACGAATAATTCATATTTCATCTTTCAAAAAAACATTCGAGCATATCTACTGGAAAAACATATGTTGTGTACTTAGAAAAGAATTCAAATCAATATGTTGGATGAAGAAAAGAACATAATTTTATCTACCGAACGACTTTCTATATATATATACTACTCTTTAATTATTCTTTTCTTTCTCTAAGTAAAAAAAAGAATTCAACGGTCTCTAATACAAAACATGAATGAATATGATTCATATGCTGTTGTAAGTAAATGAATAATTCAGAATAAAATTTTAAAAGTATAAAATATTATTAGATATTTTTTACTTTGCGGTGTACAATGTGATTCATTTTATATTATAAGTTCTACCATTTTGTGTTCAAACTGTTGCTAAGCATTCTCCTGCTTATAAGTCTCATTTAACTATTTGTTCTTTCTCTTGATTTGAGCGACATCTAATGAATTTATACCTGTATCGAAATCGAAAGATGTATAAAAGATCACGCCATTTAACTGAAGACGACCACACCATTTATCATCGATATCATTAGAAGATCGTACGATAATTTACATGCTTTTTTTCAGATCATAGAATCATATATATATACACCTCATTATAAGACTAAACTATATGTGAGATAAAGTAATTTCTTGTTGTTATTATTATTATAAAACAATGACAGAAAAATCAATGATACGACGTACAAACGATAATATGAAAAAAGAAGTTTCACTTTACAATTCCTTATTTGCAGGTTCAACAGCAGCTGATAAACGAAAAGCTCAATACAAAAATTTAGTTACAAGTTATTATAGTTTAGTCACAGATTTTTATGAATATGGTTGGGGACAAAGTTTTCATTTTGCAAATCGATTTCGTGGTGAAACATTAGCTGAATCAATTCAACGACATGAATCTTATTTAGCATTAAAAATGAATTTAAAACTAGACGATAAAGTACTCGATCTTGGTTGTGGTGTTGGTGGACCATTGAGACGTATTGCTTATTTAACTGGAGCACATGTTACTGGTATAACTATTAGTGAATATCAAATTCAACGAGCTAAAAAAATTGGTAAGAATATACAAACAGATTAATATTTTCATTTTTGAATGAATTTACTTTTATCATATATAGGTGTACCAGCTAATTGTCAGTTCATTCAAGGTGATTTCATGAAATTACCATTTGAAGATAATAGTTTTGATCATGTTTATATTATTGAAGCCGTATGTCATGCACCAGATAAGGTGAACTTATATATTACATATTATTGTGTTTTTTTTATATTGAAACTGTTATTACTTTTTTCTTCTGTAAACTTTTTTAGGCAAAATGTTTTGCTGAAGTTATTCGTGTGCTTAAACCAGGTGGTTCTTTAGTTGGTTATGATTGGTGTTTAACTGATAAATATGATAGTCAAAATCGTAACCATGTCGAAACAAAACGTTTAATAGAAGAAGGTGATGCATTACCTGACTTAAAATCTACACATCAATTGGTTGCAGATTTAAAATCTGTTGGATTTACTGTTGAAGAAAATCGAATGATTCCAGAAGGTGATATTCCATGGTATCAACCATTAAAAGGTGGAGATTCATTTTTAACATTAAATAATTTTCGTACAAGTTTTCTTGGACGTTTATTGACACGTAATACAATTTGGCTATTGGAAAAAACTAGAATAGCTGCTCAAGGTAGTCTAGCAACTCTTAATATACTTGAAACAGCAAGAGATGGAGTTGTACGTGGTGGTGAAAGTGATATATTTACACCTTATTTCTTTTTTCTTGCAAGAAAATCTTCATAAAAAAATGAAGAAAATAGTAGACAAATTTATAAGAATCGAACGTTGTGTTTGATTCTTTTATAGATGATGTAATAAATTGTAAGCAGCATTTAGTAAATAAAAGACCATCAAAATGATAATATTCCGGTTTCCCTTACTTTTGCTGAAAGTGGACATGGAAGCTTCTGAATATTTTCTTGTTGAGAAAATTAAAAAACCAAGCATCGAAATGTGAATCAAATGTTTACTATTGTAAAAAAAAGAGTGAAAGACAAACAAAAAGACTTTTATATTTTAGTTTATCAATGTTAAGTAATATTTCTATTGAATAATCATAACTTTTTTGTCACAAGTAAAGACAAACCATTTGAGAACATCAGCTACTGTAATGAGATAATCGTTATATCGATTATATCGAGTGTTTATTCGATTTTGTAATGCTGTTGACTATTTGTTTTTCTATTTCGATCAAATTAATAAGTCTTTCACCACGTGTTCTATTACATAAATAAGTTTTAATTAACTTCATGACAACATATGAATGCTCGACAGTAGTTGTCAACATCAGTATTTGACAGTTGAATTTGAGTGAGAATAACGATTGGTGAATTAGGTTGCTTAAATAATGGAATCTTTATGATATTCACATTTGTCTTTATTCGATAAACAATCAATAGTGTCTTCTAATGTTCTTAATGATTTATTAACAGATTGACCGAAACACTGATTTCTTCCTTTCCTTAAAAATAAAATACAATAACGGCAATAAACTCCTTAATCCACATGCGAATATACTAGCCATGAGTGTTGGCAGACTGATTGAATTTTTCTATTTTGTTTGGCCTTTGGAAAAACATAACTTGGTGATAGAATCTATGGTTCCGTTTGATCAATCGACAATGAAGCAATAGCAATTGGAACATCTTTAGTATTATTAAGTATGGATGTTGCTCTACGCTTCACGTACACACAGATCCACACTCACACAGTCACACTCTATCCTTCGACGTTTTACTTTCGACTAAAGTTCATATAACCAATATTTTTAATCAAAATACATAAAAATAATTTTTCTTAATATAGTAATAAAAAAAGTTCTTAAACATAAAATCAATCGAACATGAAATTGTATTAAATGAGTATAAACAAATGACTATTTAATTAAAGAACTCTTATTACAAAAGATTTAATAGAAATTGTAGAGATATAAATGTAATTTTGAAAGATATCTTAATTAGACATTAGAAATATATCTTTTAATACCTTTTCAATAAATAAACAGACTTATAATTTCCAACAGGCAGTGCATTATTGAAGAAAATAAATTTTGAATACTGGAAACACATGACGTTTTTTTTGCTCTTCAGTTGGTTAACATGTTGTTTCTAATCTTCATTCTGCTCATTAGGAATACATGTTCCGATGCGAATAGGTTTTTGCTCATGCTGTTTTCAAGTTTTTTCGATTGAAAACATATGAGAGGATTGTTAGAAGTATTTTTCACTACTTAGTTTCGTGCTATTTCGATGTGACCTTATTGATTCCTGTGGTATTTCTTTGGATTTTCAAAAAAAAAATTTTTTCAAATTTCTACAACACTTTGCTTACCAGACACTATTTTTCACGGTGATAACGAATATCGTGTTTAAAATCGAAAAAAAGTTGAGTTTTCATGGCAAAAAGTGCATATTACTGATAAATTGATCATAGAGTAGTTTTTTGCTGTATCATGCTTTTTTACATAAAAACCATAAAAAGATGTTAGCTTTTATTCTTTAAAATACATCAATGTAAGCAGAATTATTTTTTCTACCCGTTACAAGCAACTTTTAGTACTGGAAAATGCCTTCGTGTCGAAAAGTCAGATATACAGCTGAACGCAATTTTTTCATGCTCTATCCAAATAGCAATTCAAATTAGCACAAAAAATATGATGTACATCCGATTTTCAGAGGCTCCCTACAAAGCCGATCTTAGAATCTTAGAGAATCTAGGCTTTTTGGCAATGTCATTGTGTTCAGCATATCTTAAAAGCTATTCCTACAATTTGTCCTAGCTTTTAACTGACTCTGTCATGTAAAATACTAGCTG